ATGAGTTTTATCGTAGGTCATTGAACTTGCCTCCGCAACCGCTATCATGTAATATAAGAAAAGAGAATAGCTATCGATAAAAAAAAATTCGTAGTATCGTCGTTACGCGAAAACCATTGTAAATTTGAAAACAACCTGTTCGAGCTACCGTATTGCATATACAAAATAAAGAAACCCCTTGTCTTGTTCTATTTTTCTCACAAATCTACCACTTACAGAAAAATACTGGAAACTAATAACGTGAATACTCTGTATATTTTCACTGATATACGATACTAACTTTGGCGAAGAAATGTAATTTAAATCATATAATACTTTCCGTACGAATACAACAGGTGTCCTAATATTTATGTAAGGCAGTGTATACAGGGTGTCCCAGTTTTTTCCAATCAAACTTTGTCAGCATGTTGTATGGGTATAAGTAAGAAAAAAATGTTATATGAACATAGGTCGTTTGAAGTTTTGTTAAAAAGCTACAACGAAAATACGAAGGGAATGATAACGAACTTGAGGTTACTATGATGCAAGACAAGCATATCGCTTGCAGAAGTTATATTGAACATCTTCACAACCTAATACCGTAAACACACCTTGCATGAATAGTCTATATAGATGTGTATATCGCCGATCTATTCTTATTTTGTACCATAACCTCAAATCCGTTACCAATCCCTTCCTATTTCGTATTACCGTTATAACTTTTTAATAAAGCTTCAAACAAACTATGTTTATATAACATTTTTTTCTTACCTATACCCATGGAATATACTGACACAGTTTGATCGGAAAAAACTAGGACACCCTGTATATGTACTGTCCCGCGTTGAGAAGATGGCGAGCGGGACGGCACAGAGGCAAGGGAAGTTTCGGCCAATAGTAAAAATGCGTGTGATCTGATTTTATGAGTGGCCGCTACAACCAATGAGGCCCACATTCCTTCCGCTCGTCATATTCTCAGCGTAGAACATATTCTCATAGCGTTAAGAAGGCATTGAATCGGCTAAAACCAGAAGCTGAATAGATCGACGACGATGGAAAGAATGGAACAAGGAGAAACGTTTACAGTTCCTTGCAACGTACCTACATCACTGCACAAGCAAAAGTGATGAAAATTAAAATATAAATCTGCAATGCTGGAAAAATGTTGCGTCATCCGGCTTATGTACACTCGTGTTAGGAGTAGATCTAGGCCAGTTTCACTTTGTTGTTTGCCGAGCTAACGTTGTTATTAATACTTATTTTCTGGAGCTGTTCGTTGCAGAAGCTTGATGCACAAAATTCGGTTAAATTGATTTATTTTGTCCGTGTAACGGTTGATATTTTACAAGCAACATTCTGTGAACGTGGTTGATCTTCGACTTGTGTGCTTAGGTGACGTGAGGTTATAAAAAAGGCTCGAGAAAATGTCAAGGGTGACCGCAAATGTGCAGTGATAAAAGTGCGTTGAAAGTGCGTTCTGTGATAACGCAAGATGAAGAATTGAGGAGTAACGGTGATAACAAAATGGAGAATGGATTATTGCGAATCGTGTATGAGTTTTTTTGTCCTTTTTTTGTTTTTCCTTTTTGTGAATCGAAACATCTATCCGATTTTCTTAATTATCATTCGACTAAGATGAAGAATTGAGGAGTAACGGTGATAACAAAATGGAGAATGGATTATTGCGAATCGTGTAAGAGTTTTTTGTCCTTTTTTTGTTTTTCCTTTTTGTGAATCGAAACATCTATCTGATTTTCTTAATTATCATTCGACCGAAGTGCGTTAATGGTCTGGACGAACTGAGGAGCTAATCTGAACCCGATGAGACTTGGATTTCGACTGACGCGTCGCGTTGAGAACGGGGTTCTTAAATGAGCTACACAGAGGGTTTTCGGTCTCTGTTCCTTGAATAGTGGAAAAACAGGAAAATACTGAATGTGTCTACGTTTTTGGCGGAAACTTAACCGGGGTTGAAGAAGGGGAGTGTACTTTTGTAGGAAGCAGAGGAACAACAGTGATAGACTGTATCCTGGTGAATACAGCAGGCTTGGAGTAAATAGAAAAATTAGACAACAGGACGGACTCTGATCACCAACCACTGAAAGTAATAGCAATAGTAAAGGGAGGGAAGAGAATGGAAAGAAATAATTTGCCGGAGTGCAGAGAATATAGGAAAGTACCAAGGATAGCACAAGTGAGAAAATGTTCAAATACATTGGATATAGAGGGAAAATGGGAACAGCTTAAGACCACGATGAAAGAAGCGGAATAAGAGTAAAGAATAGAAAAATAGGGCAAAAATTTTGTCGGGATAGGGAATGTGTTATAGCAAGGAGAAGAAGAAGCTAGGACGACGGTACCGGAAATGGAAAGTGAATAGGGGCAGTATCTGGTAAGGAGAGTACAATTCAAGAAACTATGTTGAGAACAAGGAAAAGAGAAAAGAAGGAAGAAATAAAACATGTGAGAACAGAGGGTCAAATATGGAGATATTTAAATAAAAAGAGAAGAGTCAGCTAATAAAGTACAAATGGAGGAATAACGAGAGCATTTTATGAATTTTTGGAGAAGTTCGAATAAGAGAAAAAGACGGGAAGCGAAAGAAGAAGCAAGCGTTGAAGAATACAAACTCGCGGATGGTGAAATGGAGAATTAAATAAAGAAATTGAAGAAGAAAAGGGCAACAGGAAGCTGATGGGATACCGAGTGAGGCTTGGATCTACAGTGAAGGCAACATCGTAGAGAGACTGAAAGCGATAGTGAGAAAAATGGATTCCCGAAGGAGTGGAGAAGTTTATGTATAATGCAGTACTCAAAAAAATATTCGACACGTATTTCTTCATGGGGCATGAAAATGACAATTAAAGTAGGGACGAAAAACACGTTTTCTTCAGTATCTAAAAAATTATCGACTGTAGAGAAATGGTTTAAATGGCAAAGTTGTACACTTTGGAACGAGAAATTCAGCTATTACTCCACATTTTCGACGCATTTCTTAATCTAGATTCACCCCTTTTCGAAGTGTACCACGAGTTTAGATGCACCACGTATTTTCTTAAACTTAATGTTTCAAGGGAGGAGAAAGTAGCGCGGAATGTAATCGATCCAGAGGAGCCAAACCTTCATCACAAATCAATAGTCCCTATTTCTACGAGCAGTGTACTCTTGGGATTGTCTCTACGTGATAGCTGACTTGAACCGAAGCGTATTATACGGCGATAAATTGGTCCAGATTGCCGTAACAGGTTGCTTATAGCACCAGTAAAAAAATATCCACTAATAACCTACATACACTGCCGTTCATAAGTATCAGGACACCCTTTATATTCGTGTCGAAAATATTGTACGATCTAAATTACATTTTCTTGCCAAAATTAGTGAGAAATTTATTATCAGTATTACTGTTAGTAAAAATATACATTATGTAAATGTTATACTTCGAGATTCTAGAATGAATAATTTTTTCTTTAGGATCTTAATAATTTTGCAATGACTTTTGTGTCTCGAATAATTTTATATGAAATTTTTAATGACAATGAGGCTTGCTTCGTATTCAGTAAGTAGATTTTAGTAGATCTCAGTAGACGTCTGTAGGATTCGGTAGATTTCCGTAGGTATCGAAAGATTTCAATAGAAGTTGGTAGAATACAGTAGATTTAAATAGAAAAGACGTGTCGAATAGTTTTTTAAGTATTACATTGTACATAAATTTCATTAAAATTCTCGTATGATATTTGCGTAATGTTCCTTGTGCGAATGTTTCTATACATCGTTCAAAATAAGAGTAACCTCGCTCTCGGACCGATTCTCGTCCGTTCTGCGCATAGACAGAGAGCGTAGCAGAGGGTAAGACGGAGAAAAACGTAGGCGGTTAAGTGGGGGTTTGGGCGTTCCAGCCCCGCCTTAGGCACGTCCCATGCGTGAAACGAGGTTACTCTTATTTTGAACGATGTATACTCTAGTGCGAAGCATAGTCGGTATAGTAAGGTCGCAAAATCAGTCAGGCGTCAAAGAACACGCGATCCGAGTGTCAAAACAGCAATTCAAGGGAGATAAGGAGCTCGAGCCTCGCTTATCGAGACAATGAATTGAAATCAACGAGAATTATGATAGTACTTATGATATAGTTAAAAGATAGTGTAGTTTGTCACTCACAATATCCTCAAAAGTATTTGTCTATCGCAAATACGGATCAAAAGTACAAATTTAAGAGGGAAGAGAATATGAAAAGTTCTGAGAAACAAAATACGAAACATCCAATGTTTAATAAGTCGTTTTGTTGTTACATTAAATTGCTACGATTAAACGTACAATAGCTAAGAAATTTCTGCGTTTATTCATTTTTACCCGAATATTTGCAAAAATTTTTTAAGTTAGATTTTCGTAGCTGAATTATTTATGCTATCCCCTTGATTAACATATTTTTGATAAAGTGGAAAATATGCAATAAAGTTACGTTGTATTTGAAAAGTTCGTTTGAAATAATCCCTCGAAACCAAATGCCCAATTTTATATGGATCTGGAGTCATGAATTGGTTTTCGACGTAATACCCAAAATTGCACGAATCTTAACTAGTTCAGAACGGTGACCCATGTCACTAGTAGGTGATGCTCTTATTTGCCAAGAAAGATCGAATAGACGGCGTAACCCATCGGTAGGTCACCACATTATTTTACAATATTCTACGAAAAACACGTATATTTAATATGTGACAAGATTAGAAAGTGAAAGATTAAGTATTGATGGTAGTAAACACTTCAATGAAATCGAAACATCCGGTTGTAACAAACGCCGGCAAGGAGAGTTTCGCGAATTTCTCTACCATCCTGAACGTGTTAAATCCCCGAATAGCGCGGTTTTCAATAACATGAAATGTTCTTCGAGGGTTACTTGTACCTCGTAGAGGGAAACACACAAACAAAAAGAAATGTTCGTTTGATTCAGAATCTTTTATTCAAAGAATCTTTTGTGATATGGGAAAGGTCGATAAAGGAAGAACACCATACAAAGGTGCTTTCGTTCAGTAGCTCATTCTTTCTTTCTCGTTCTCGCGGTTGTAAATGAGCACATCCTTGAAGTACATATTCGGAATGGTGTAGTTCCATGCCCACATAGGTCTATCCAGGGGGAATCCAAACGGTTTATCGTCGAACATCACCTTGCCAAGCATCGGCAGCTCGTATATCTTCATGTTGTTCTCCTCGAGTGGGCTCAGGAAGAAGAACATCTTGAACTTCATACCTTCCGGTTTACCACGTGGCAGAGTGAGACGTTCGGATAAACCGAACATTCCCTCGGGGTACATAAGTGGCTCGCTTCCGCTGATCGCTTTGTTCATTCTCTCGTATAACATGTCGCTGGGCATCATGTCTGGCATCGTGAAGATAGACTCTGAGCTGTGACGCTCGATGTTGTTGCTTCCAGGACGGACTGGAGAAGTGAAAAAGGTTGATTGTTAGATAATTGTTAACTTCATTCCTCGTGGCGTAGTTTTGTCAATGCGAAAAACGAAGATGCGTCCCCTTTCGAGGAAAAGAGATGTATAGTCGGTGAAAGAAATGTAGCGAGGTCGTAAATTGAAGCATTAAGTAGTGACACTGAATGATACAGTGACATTCAAGATTCATTTTACGCTTGTCGATTGGGACTGAATCGAAGCTACGGTATAGTCGGTGGAAGCGATATAGCGAGGTCGTAAAATCAATCAGGTGTCAAAATACACGTAATCCGAATACCAAATGAGGATCGTTCGACGTCAACTTGGAATTGGTTCTTCCATTGCAGTATATTTAAAAAATTTGTCTGCATCTTAATCGTTCACCGTCGCAGGTTAATTTTTACCAATACGGAAATTACTATTGAGCAGGAAGCAACGGAGGCTAAATACCGTATACCTTAAACGAAAGATTGTAAAAAGAAATTTTAGATATCAATTCACAAGTGATAAACGACTCTGGGTGCGGCTACATCAATCGATGTCGTCGTTTAATACTTTAATTAACGACCTCACTATTTCGCTTCCGCTGACTATACACTTCGTGCGACTCTGACTGAGGCTTCTGTCGATTTGCACATCGATATGTTCGAACATGCATGCTTTGACGTCTGACCAATCATATGACCTCGCTATATTTCTTCCACTGACTATACTGTGACGCTTTGCTGTGAGAGAAGAGCGTGAAGAAGGAAATTGGAAAGAGGGAATGTGTTTTGTCAATAAGGCAACCTATTCTGGGGATCAAATGTATTGGTCGTGTGGTAATGGATCTCCTCATTTTTGTCAGTTAATTCTATCATGTTGCAATATTAAGTACCATCATCAGGGGTCAGTTTATGCAACCAAGGATTAGACTGTGACGAATGGTATCTTTGCATGTTCCTCCATTTCTATTGTATATAGATAGCTTGAAACTCCCATTTGTGTGTCTTCATGCAACTCTATTTAACCATTTTGTACAGCTGTCCTTGTTTGCTCACTGTGACATTGTTCCACATTTTGGGGTGGCGCGAAGTAACTTCACTTTGGGCCCAGATCATGCCACACTGATTTCATTACAAAAGACCAGTTAACAAATTTGTTGTGCCAAAAATATTCCACATCTGTGGCTTACCAGTTGCAGATAATGAAAATTTGTTGCATTTTGCTGTGAGTATAGTTTACCAAACAAATATTACAATCTTTTTTAAAATGTACAGAAAAATATCCAAAATGTGGCACAATCTCACCCCAGATAATGTTAGTGTTTAGAAAATGATCCTGAAGATTCTATACCTAAGATGTCCATAAATTGGACAATGAATCACTAGTGTCACCTGTATTGAATTTTTTCAATTTTTGGCTTAATTCAAACGCTTGAAGAGCTTTGTTCAACTCGAAATTGAAATCAGAATCGAGAATATGTATCTGAATTATTTCCCCTATAATGTACACCATGCACAACTGAAGCTAAAAATAAATAGGTATACTAACGTGTTACGACGAATCGGTCCATTTCCACGAAGTAGTTGTAGTATTTCTGTAGATAGACCATGTCCTGCTTGACGTTGTCGAAGGCTGGTCCAAGATAGATTCTGAGCATACCCTGCATATCCTTGTCGCTGTTGATGGCCATCTTGTAGCTAAACGGTTGATAGTTGAGACAAGTACGACGTGCCTTTAGTCGAAGAGACATTCCACTCTTCATGTTCTCCACAGTTATGGCGTTGTTGATCAGGGTGTCGCAGGAGTCGAAGTAAGTGTACAATTTGTCGATATTCACAGACTCGAATTTAACTCCGGGCAGTTGCAGCTCGCTTTCAGTGTACTGTGGTTGCAATTTCTTGTATCTGTGTATGTATAATTCAATAAATTTTCCGTTAGCGTTCAATTTTCTCAACACTTTGCTATATGAAATCGAGCTAGACTCGAAGTTTGATTGAATGCTTTCTCACCCCGAAACATTATTTAACATAAATGTGCGAGTGATCATGAAAGTGACCTTAAGAAAGAGGAAGTATTATTTTATTTCAATGTTCCATGTATTTTCTATTTCACTATGGCGAACAAATTTATGAAGATCCATAGATCTTTCTGTCATAATCAATGATTTATCAAGTAACAATTGCTCGATGTCGCTTCTCAGTCGTCACTCGACTGCAAAGGGTTAAATGATATTTAGAAGAAATTACAAACTAGTCGTTTGTACTGCTTCTTTGATCGGTTTTACACTTCGTTCAAAATAAGAATAACCTCGCTCTCGGACCGATTTTCGTCCGTTCTGCGCATAGACAGAGAGCGTAGCAGAGGGTAAGACGGAGAAAAACGTAGGC